CTCACCCGACGCTCTGGAGAGGAGTTGTCCCAGGTTCTGGATGAGAAGACTGAGGACAGACGTGACTGGTCAGTGACAAATGAGGACTGAACTCACATCTTGGGAAGGCCTTTGATACGTCCTTGGGCAGCTGACTCTTTCCTGCCAGAGCTGAGGGGTTCCCCAGGAGCGTCCAGAGATTTGCAGAATTGAAGTGGCCAGAGAAGGGGACTAGAAAGGTGTTGGGGTCCTGGAGTCTGAGTGAGCCTCAGGGTCTCTGGGAGCCCTCTGAAACTGTGGGGAGGGCGAGCCTCTGTGTGTGTGCGGGTGTGTGGTGGGTGCATGTGTTGTGTGTAGCATGTGTTTCACGTGTGATGTGTGCAGTAGGGATGTAGAGTGAGGGGTTCCGTGTGTGATGTGTGGAGTTTGTTGTGCGCGTGACGTACAGTGTGTGTGTTTAGTGGAGGTATGTGCGGTGCGTGGTTAGAGTATGTGTAGTATATGTAGGAATATGTGTGTGTGCATGATATGAAGTATGTGCAATTGCATCTTTCTAAAAAGAGATTTTACTGGTTTTCAAATACAGAAAAGATCAAAGAACCCCAGCTTTTAATAAGATGGGGAACGTGGCACAGGTGGACCTGGGGCCTGGGTATCTTCTTCCTTTTTCTTTATCCTTAGGTTTTTGTCAGAGGGCACATGTGCTTGCCAGAGTAGAGAGAGAGATAGAGAGAGAGAGAAGGTGATAAATTACCCCCAGGGGGAGATGGACACACCACAATCCCTTCTCCCTTCTCCTCTCAGGATTTTTGGCACACACGCACACATGTCCGGCATGATTTTCAAGCTACCTCGTCCAGGACTTGAACCATAGTTTGCCACGTGGGAGTCCAATGCCTTAAACACCACGCCGCCTGCTGGCCCCTCTTTCTGCTTATCTCTAGGTCTCTGATCTTCTTGGGCAGATAGCAAGTACTCTCAGAGTTCCAGACCACCACTTCGGCCTCCTAGTGTGGTTTAGTCAGTTCGGGCTGCTCTAACAAAGAGTCTGGACAGTCCAAAGTGAGGGTACACGACCCACCGCCAGCCCTCTTCTCACTGTAATGGCAGAAAGAGTGAGAGGGCTCTCTTGAGCCTCTTTTATGGCAGAAAGAGTGAGAGGTCTCTCTTGAGCCTCTTTTTTTTTTTTATTAAATTTTTTTAAAACATTTATTTATTTACTTGTATATTTATTTGTGATTTTCAAGCCTCCCAGTCTAGGACTTGAACTGTGGTTGGTCATGTGGGAATCCAGCACCTGGTCCACCATGCCACTTGCTGGCCCCTCTTGGGCCTTTTTCACAAGGCTGCTAGTGCCACTCATGAGGCTCTGCCCTTGTGACCTAACTCCTCCCAAAGACCCCGCTCGTAAGACCATCATCAGGGCCTGGGATTTCAACATCCGAAGGCCCAGGAGACCGGCACTGGAAAGACAGGGAGGGGCCTGGACGTAGGTGCCCGTCTCTGCATTTCCTGACCCAGGTGTGTCAAAATACGGGTATGTTCTGAGGTACCTGCTAGAGCGAGTGCGTGGGTGTTCTGTCCTGTCAGCCCACAAGTGGTCTCGTCTCTTCACTGCTCACCTGGCACCGAGAGCAGTGCGGAGCACATCATGAGCACTCAGCAGATTAATTTTTTAAAAATTATTATTTTAGGGACCAGCAGTTAGTGTAATGGCTATGTTGCTGGACTCCCATGTAGTCAACTGCAGTTCGAGTCCCGGACCCAGTGGCTTAAACTCACACCAGGTACGTGTGCGTGCGTGCCCAAGATCCCAAGAGGAGAATGGAGGAGAAGGGATTGCGGCGTGGCCATCCTCCCTGGGGGGTGATTTCTCGCTTTCTGTCTCTCTGTCTTTCTCTGTCTTTCTGGCGAGTGCATGCGCCCTATAGCAAAAACCTCTCCCCAAAAAAGTATTATTTTATTTAACTTTATTTATTTATCTTAATTTGACCAGAGAGGGACAGGGTGAGAGAGAGAAAGAGAGGGAAAGTGAGAAAGCCAGCAGGCCGATCTAGGACTCAAACCACAGTCGGCAGGTAGGAGTCCAGTGCCCTTAACTACCATGCCACCTGGCAGCCCCTCAGCAGGTGTTTTTGTTTGTTTGTTTGTTTTGTTTTGTTTTGTTTTTTGAGAGGTTTTTGCTATAGGGCGCATGCGCTCACCAGAAAGACAGAGAGACAGAGAGAGACAGAGGGATAGAAAGTGAGAAACCACCCCCCAGGGGGATGGCCACACCGCAATCCCTTCTCCTCCAGTCTCCTTTCGGGATCTTGGGCAAACATGTACACGCACCCAGCATGAGTTTAAGCCACCGGGTCTGGGACTCGAGCTGCAGTTGACTACATGGGGAGTCCAGCGACATAGCCATTACGCTAATGCTGGTCCCAGCAGGTGTTTTTTGTACGCACACTTGGCACCCTTCTCTCCGTCTATGCAATGTGAGGCTCCAGTGTCATCTTCCAGTCTACGTCCCTCATTCTCAACCTCATTTTCCATGTCACTGTACTTACTCCGCGAGGTTCTGATTCTGCCTCATTCTACACGCAGCGGGGCAGAGGTGGGTAAGTGGAGCAGCAGGTGCGTGGCTCGATTTCCTCTCCTCTGTTAGCTGGCACACAGACTCTCCTGCAGTCCGGCCTCCAATTTGAACCCACTGAAAGTTCCCTTCCCCAGACATGCTGTGCTTATCCCCTGCCCTTGTGGGTCTGCTATGCCATTGCCTGGAATGTGCCCTCGCCCCTAGGAAGGCAGGTTCAGGCGTCCACTTCTTTATGAACCACCTCCACCCCCAAGCAGTTGCCGCCCTTCTCAGTGCTCCCCGCACCTTGAGCTTGAGAGCCTTCGTTGGTACTTTCTTCCTCTCCCGCAGTCCTGTGGAAAGTCTGGCTCGCCAGATCTTCCTATTGGAATCCGTAGGGCTCAGAGGCAGAGAGGTGCTGGAGGTGCTCCTAGGAGCTCAAGAGAGCCGAGTGTATGCGGCTCTTCCCAACTCTTCCGTTGCACGTTGGTAGCTTGGAGTTGGCCATGGTGGCATTCACACCCTGGAAGTTAAATGTGACTCAGGCGCCCCCCACAGCAGAAGCCAGTGCACCAGCGTGCTGATGCAGCTAAAGGCATTCAACAAATGAGAGCCAGCAGGTGGCATGGAGCTTAAAGTACTGGATCCCACATAGCCGAGCTCATGGTTCGAGTCCAGACTTGGTGGAGACAGGAGACTGTCCAGTAAGAACTGAGAGAAAAATGCATATTCATGGGGCACCGGATAGCTGTGTGCGTGGGAGCTTCAGGGTCCTGCTGGGATGGCGTAGCAACAGCATGCCGTGGAGAGCTGAGACCGAGGTTCCACCTAGACGAACAGGCCAGGCAGTGATCATGGCACCTGCAGGCCTGACTGATGCCATGGGCCAGGTGGCAGGGTCCAGTCAGCTTGGCAGGAAGGCTCTGTCTGGGCAGGCTATTTGCCCGCTGCTGTCTGTCCATGCCCTACTGACCTTGGCTGAGCCAGAGCCATGAGTGGAATGGGGACTCTTCTAATACGGCTTTCTCCCAGGTGGGGCAGGACCAGGCGTGCGGGCCCCTTACCAGCTCCTTGCACTCAGTCCTCTTTTCATACTGTCTAGAAACTGGGTGTGGGGAAGGGCCCCTGGGCTTCCCAGCCCTTAAAGGTACTTTTCTCTCCAGGAAATGGCCAGTGATGAGCTGAGGGAGCTGAGGAACGCCATGACCCAGGAGGCCATCCGTGAGCACCAGATGGCCAAGACCGGTGGCACCACCACTGACCTCTTCCAGTGCAGCAAATGCAAGAAGAAGAACTGCACCTATAACCAGGTATGGGCAACGGGGAGGGGCCTGAGGTGGAGGCAGCCATGGGAGCGAAGATGTGGAGAGCTGGGGAGAATCAGGCAGGAGCCGGAGGGGAAAGAGCACAGCTGTCCAGGCTGCGCGGGAAGGGCAAGCCTGTACTGGTGTACCTGTGACTTCTAGAACGTGCACCCGGCTGCGTGGCCATGAGGCCTGGCCAGTTCATTCCAGCCACGCTGAAGTGAAAAGAACCAGAAATACAGGGCACAGAACTTCTGGAGAGTCTCAGAGGGTTGAACCGGAGGAAACCCAGCTCCCTCGCTGTATGCACAGGGGAACTGAGGCCCACACGCGGGCCAGGCAGACTTTGCAGCTTTTCCCGAAGTAGCAGAGCAGGGCAGTGGCAGAGGTAGCAATAAAGCCAGCTCCAGGCCTTTCTGCCTGCAGTCCAGCCAACCTGGTCAATAAAGCCTAAGGGACTGAGCCCTGAGTCCTAAAGGTAAAGACCACTGCCCCGGTGTGGGAGCCATGGAAGCCTATGGACGTTCCTTCTCTGTCTTTCCCTTTTTTTCTTTTTTCTTTTGAAGTGAGAAAGCAACACCCCCCCCCGCCCCCGCCCATGGGGGGATGGCCACACTCCATTCCCCTCTTGTGATCTTGGGCATAGACACACACACACCCGGCACGTTCTTCAAGTCACTGGGTCCAGGATTTGAACTGTCAGCACACAGGGATCCAGCTGCTATAACCACCACGTCACCTAGCTGGCCGGTCTCCTCCTTTCCTTTCTTCCTTCCTTCTTTCCTCTTTCTCCTTTTCTTCTTTCTTTATTTTCTCTTTCTTCTTTTTCCCTTTCCTTTTTTAAACATTATTTCTTCATGAGTGAGAAAGGGAGATAGCACCCTCAGTAAGGTTTGAACCATAATTCCCTCCCAGCCTTCAGCCTGCCCTGGATCTTGGGCCCGTGTGTGTCCCGTGTACTCGAAGGGGTGTCTCTGAACTTGAATCTTAAATCTTTTTTTTGGAGAGGTTTTTGCTATAGGGCGCGTGCACTCGCCAGACAGACAGAGAGAGACATAGAGACAGAAAGCGAGAAATCACCCCTCAGGGGGGATGGCCATGCCACAATCCCTTCTCCTCCATTCTCCTCTCAGGAATTTGGGCACTTGCGCACACATGCCTGGAGTGAGTTTTAAGCCCCCAGATCCAGGACCCAAACTGCAGTTAACCGCATGGGAGTCCAGTGTCTTAACCACTATGCCATCTGCTGATCCCTACCCCTCTCTTTAAAAATGGAGAATGGCCTCCTCTCTCTGAGATGCACATATTATGCCCTTGAAGCATCAATAGTTTTTATTTTATTGTTTATTTATTTCTTCCATGAGTGAGAGAGATAGAGAGGCAGGCACCCCCACAGGGACCTCCCACCAGGACCCTCCCCCGCTGTAACCAGTCCCACACCCAGCCTGCAGAGGAGGTCTCCGGAGCCTCCCACCCAGGCCAGCCTCACAGAGTCATGTGACCAATGTGCCGCTGGCCACCCCACCGGAAGCTCCGATATCCGTGGATTCTGGTTGGCGTCTCGTGCTGGAGCTAATCATTGCTCCCCACACTCAGCAAGAAAGTCCGCGAGAGCACCTTGCCTGCGCCTCTGTGCTGCCGCAGAGAGTCGGCACTGCCATTGCAGAGCTGCCCCTGGAGAAGTCGGCACAGGCAGTCAGGACGCTGGTGCGAGTCCTGCGCTGCCCAGACACGTCTCCACGTGGAGCGATGCTCCCAGTGCATCGCCTTCCTCTGGGTGCCTGTTAGCGAAGTTTTCTCTCCCACGGAGAAACCCCTGGTGCCATCCTGCGACCGTGCCACGCTGCACCCCCTCTGGCAGGCCGGTAGGCGGGGACTCCTCCCACCACAGATTGCCTGCTGACGTCCTCCACAGCTGAATGGCAAAACTTGCTCTATGTCCTGGCCAACAGGATTGCCTTTGAAGAATTAGATCAGCAGGGCCAGCAGGTGTTGTGGTGGGTAAGGTGCTGGACTCCTGCATGGCTGACTGCTGTTCGAATCCTGGACCTGGCAACTTGCTTTCTTCCTTTCCCTTTCTCTAGCTCTCTGTCTCTGTTCAAAAATTTTTAAAAATCTTTAAAAAGGAAAAAAACATGGAATTAAATAAATAAATAACCTTTTTTAAAAAAAGAAAAATTAGGGACCAGCAGTTAGCGTAATGTCTATGTTGTTGGACTCCCACGTAGTCAACCGCAGTTCGCGTCCCAGATCTGGTGGCTTAAAACTCACGCCAGGTGCGTGTGCATATGTGCCCAAGATCCCGAGAAGAGAATGGAGGAGAAGGAATTGAGACGTGGCCATCCCCTCTGGGGAGTGATTTCTCACTTTCTGTTTCTCTCTCTCTCTCTGTCTGCCTGGTGAGCGCACGCGACCTATAGCGAAAGCCTCTAAAAAATAAAAATTAAAAAAAAAAAAAAAGGAAAAATGACAACAGACACTTTTAACCCTGGATGCCAGGGCTCTGCCGTGAGATTTGCTTCCTGCACCTGAACGATGAGGTTAAGGTCCCAGTGGCGTTCAGGTCCCCTTTCTTCCTGGGCCCCAGCTCTTCCATCTGTAAAACAAGGAACACGAGACGAGTCCCGAGGCACGTCCAGCGTACTCAGGTTCTGGGCAGCAAGGCACCCTCCATGGGGTGCGCCCTGCGGTGAGCCGGGGCCATTCCTACAGGTGATGAGTCTGGAGGCAAGAAAAGAGGGATCAGTTCAGAAAGATCCCCGAGAGTGACAGTGCCGGGCCAGGTCGAGGCAGTGCGGGACTTCCGGGAGCGGGCTGACGGACTGCCAGAGGTGAGGAAGGAATGGGGGTCAGCGGCGGCCAGACTGCAGCCGAGCAGTTAGCCTGATACTCAGTGGGACTGGCCGCGTGGGAAGGTTCCAGATCTGCTGAACATGCCGAGCACGCACATGCCCACGATCTGAGGCTGATTGAAGCTGGGGGTGGATTGTGCAGTCAAGACTGTTGGGGGTGCCTGTCTTTCTGTCTGTCTGTCTGGATAGGTGTGTTCGTGTCTCTCTTGCTTGTGGAATAAAGAAATAATTTTTTTTTTTTGGAGATATTTTCACTGTAGGGTGCGTGCGCTCGCCAGACAGACAGAGAGAGACATAGAGACAGAAAGCGAGAAATCACCCCCCAGAGGGGATGGTCACGCCACAATCCCTTCTCCTCCATTCTCCTCTCGGGATCTTGGGCACACACGCACACGCGCCCGGCGTGAGTTTTAAGCCACCGGGTCCGGGACACGAACCGCAGTCGACTACGTGGGAGTCCAGCGACATAGCCATTACGCCAACTGCTGGTTCCCAAGAAAGAAATTTTTAAAAAATATATTTTTAGGGTCAACCAGTGTCATGGTGGTTAGGGCGGCTGAATCCCACATGACTGACTTTATAGTTCAAGTCCCCAACTCGGTGGCTTGAGGAACACACTGGTGTGTGCACACCCAAAATCCCGAGGTAAGAGTGGAGGAGAAGGGCCTGCAGCAAGGCCATCCTCCCTACAGGGATGCTTTCTCATTTTCCTCGCTTTCTCTGTCTCTCTCCAGCAAGTTAATGCACCCCCATAGAATATCTTAAAAGAAAAATTAGCTTAATGCCAGAGGCATGTGCACTCACCAAAGAGAGACAAAGAGAGAGCAAGCACCCTCGTAAGCCCCCATGGGGTATGGTCATCCTGCCCTTTTCCCCCAGTTCTCCATCCCACCTGGATTTGGGGCATGTACACACATGTGTCTGATGTGTGTTTTAAACTGCCAGGGTCTCCCTGTCAGCCACACAGAATCGGGCTCCTTATGCACAGGGCCAGCCCTAAAATAAATAAATAAATAAATAAATAATAAAAAATTAAGTTCATGGAAAACAGAATTAAAGTTCAAGTTTATTTTGGTGCAAAAAAAAATGTTTAAGTCCATGTTTTGTTTTGCTTTTCTTAATACACATTTTCCATGAGCTTTTGAAAACCCTTCGTACATTAGGGAGTTCTCGGTGATACCCGAGTTGGCAGCACAGGTGAGAACATCAATGCCAACCTCCTAAAGCCGGGAACCTGTCAGGCCTGGAGCGGGGAAGTGGCTTCACGCATGGGTCTTTTCTCTGTCTCAGGTGCAGACGCGCAGCGCTGATGAGCCCATGACCACCTTCGTCTTATGCAACGAGTGCGGCAACCGCTGGAAGGTCTGTATGTCTGCCTTTCTCTCTCTGTTACCCAAGACCTGCCCACATAAGGAGTAACACCCACAGCGAGGAAGGGGCCTTATGCTTGGAAGGCTTGCCAGCCCGCACGGATTAGGCCCACAGAGCCAGAGACAGTGGGAGGATATGGGCCGCTGGGGAGAGTATGTGCGTGCGTTCATGGTAGGGCACCCTGCTGAGGTGAGAGCACTCGCCCGCGTTTTGTGTGCAAGTCTGTCATTTGAGCACGGGGGAGTCAGCTTCCTGAGGCCCACAGAGGGAGGAAAGGAACAGCCTTCTGCGTTTGGGCCACACCTCTTTGCAAAGTGCTTTCACAGATGGCGTTCCCTTTGAACTTGGCCACGGTCAGGGATGAGGCACGGAAGGCCACGCTGTCAGAGGGGAGCTGCCCTGGTGCTCCCAGACCACCTTCTCCTCCCAAGGCAGCTCTGGAAAAGCTTTATATTACCCAAGGCTGCAACCCAGGCTGTCCCAGCTCCCGAAAAGGCAGCCATTTTGTTTTCAGGCATGGGAGCCAAGCTCCGCAGAGCTATTTTAAGGATCAGAGAAAGTAACACACCATAAAGCAGTAATAGGGCCTCCAATGCCTCATACAGAATCTTTGTCAAACTGGAGAAAACTGTCCCTTCCTCCAGGCAGACACAGGCTTGTGCCAGGGTGCAAAGCAATCTGAGTTTCAGCTTCAGCTTGCCATTTGGCCATGATCTGTGTGCGGTCGACCATGCATACAACCATACCCAGAAAAAAAGCCCCGAGGGACCAACAGTAGGCATAATGGCTATGTCACTGGACTCCCACATAGTCGACCTCAGTTCGAGTCCTGGACCCAGTGGCTTAAAACTCACGCTGGGCACGTGTGCGTGTGTGCCCAAGATCCCCAGAGGAGAATGGAGGAGAAGGGATTGCGGCGAGGCCATCTCCCTGGCGGGGGTGATTTCTCGCTTTCTGTCTCTCTGTCTCTCTCTGTCTGTCTGGTGAACACATGCGCCCTATAGCAAAAATCTCTCAAAAAAAAGGAGAAAAAAGCCCTGAGCACACATGTGCCTGGTACGTAAAAGCCACTCTTCTTCCTGCTATTAGTACTATTGGAGTTTAGGCAAGTCACTTTACCTCCGTGAGCTGCTACTTAACCTGTAAAAATGGTACTGGTCCTGGGGCCTTGCAGGGTGACCGTAAGGATAGCTGAGTTCATCCCTGTGCACACGGGGGCGTGGTGGCGCCCGCCCTATGGCATCCCTGTGCACACTGTCTAGCGCAGGGTAGGTGTTCAGTAACGGACAGCTCGCATGATTGTTACCGTCGGGGAAGACATTCCGAATGCTCCAAACCCAGCTCCTCCCTGACTCCTGTCAGCTGGGGAAACAGGACCCACTCGAGGTGGCTCTGTGACTTCTGATACCATTCCCACATAGTGTCTGTGGCCACGTGGGAGGCCTGAAGTCTAACCAGGCAATTAGCAATCAGCAGTGATGTTCTCCACCATAAACTGAGAGCTGCCCCGTGCTGGCGCTGACCTGCTGCTCCTTCATTACCTGGTGTCATTCTTTCTTTAAATTTCATTTTATTTATTCATTTTATTTTAATTTCATCAGAGAGAGACACACACAGAGAGAGAGAAAGTGAGAAAGCAAGCCACCAGGGCCAGGACTTGAACCGTGGTCGGCCATGCCCACGTGGGAGTGTCCAGCACCTTAACCACCATGCCACCTGCTGGCCAGCATTGTGACACCATTTTACAGATGAGTGCTTTGTTCGAGGTCACACAGAGACTGATGGCGGAGCTGGGATCTGCACACTGGCCCATGCACCTCCAAAGCCCACCTCCGATGTCCTGTGTCCCCACTGCCTCCGGAGGACACAGGAAAACGCAAACCCTTGCTTTCTTGGTTTTGTAGTTCTGCTGACGGGACAGCCGGCCAGGATGGCAATGAGCGAGGTGAGGAAGAGCTAAGAGGAAGCATGAAAACGTCGGAACTGGAGAAAATTAAAATTAAAATAAAGAAAAATGCTGAACTCTGAGTGAGGTGATGGGAATTAGGGGCAAATTCTTTTGCTAATTAATTAATTATAATCAGCTGGGCTAGGTCTGTAACCTAGTGGTTAAGGGACCCAGATCCCACATGGTTGATCCTGGTTCAAATCCTGGCTCCAGTGGCTTGCAAAACATGCCAGGGGCATGTGCCTGTGTGCCCTGGGGAAAAACAATTGGCTAATAGGAGGAGCCTATGTGGGGTAGGCCCGGTTTGTACTGAGAAGCCTCTGTAAGAACTCGGAGCCCCAGGCTGGCAAGGTGGCATGGTGACTGGGGCACTGGACTCCCACATGGCCAATTACAGTTTGAATCCTGGACCTAGTGGCTTGCTTTCTCACTTTCTCTGTCTCTCTCTGTCTTTCTGGTGAGCGCACGTGCCCTATAGCAAAAACCTCTCCAAAGAGAGAGAGAGAGAGAGAGAGAGAGAGAGAGAGAGAGAGAGAGAGAGAGAGAGAGAGAGAGAGAGAGAGAGAGAGAGAGAGAGAGAGAGAGAGAGAGAGAGAGAGAGAGAGAGAGAGAGAGAGAGAGAGAGAGAGAGAGAGAGAGAGAGAGAGAGAGAGAGAGAGAGAGAGAGAGAGAGAGAGAGAGAGAGAGAGAGAGAGAGAGAGAGAGAGAGAGAGAGAGAGAGAGAGAGAGAGAGAGAGAGAGAGAGAGAGAGAGAGAGAGAGAGAGAGAGAGAGAGAGAGAGAGAGAGAGAGAGAAACATTAAAACATAAAAACAAAACAAAACAAAAAACTTCAGAGTGTCAGACCCGAGGTGGTGTGTGTTTGGCAGTGAGCTAGCAGACATTTGCTTTCAGTTCCTTCCCTCTCATCTGAATCTGTCAACCTTTTCTGAATTGAAAAATACCAGATCCAATGGGCCAACAGGTATGTGGAGGTTAAGGTGGCTGGATCCCACATGGCCAACTGCGGTTTGAGTCCCAGACCTGGCATTTTGAAAATCATGCTGGGCATATGTGCGTGCATGCATGCCCAAAATTCCAGGAGGAGAAGGGATTGTAGTGTGGCCACCACCACTCCCCGGGGGGTGCTGATTTTGCACTTTCCCCGTGTCTGTCTGTCTCTAGTGAGCACACATATCCTATAACAAACTAGAAAATAAAGAGAGAGAGGAAGAAAAATACCAGATCAACACACATCTTACCTCAGCCACACAGAACACCCGGTGCATGGACGAGCTTCGTCAGATACGACTTCCATGCCATGTAGAAGCATTCTTCTCTACTCCTTCCTCATTTCTTCCCATTCTGCTCTTCCCTGTTCATAGCTAGCCATCAGGGCCTCTGAGGACTCCAGGCCAGACCACGCCTCCAGGCAGGGATCCTCCTGGGCTCGGGCTTGCTGAGTGGAGATGACAGCAATGTCCCTGACTTCCATGGCCTCTGGGAGGGTCTGCATCTCGGAACCTGCACAGGCCCCAGGAATGCACTCTTCACAATTCCTTCTGTGTCCCATGCTTCAGAGGAAGTCCGCAGAGCACAGGGACCTTGTCATGCTTATCCCCTGGAAATAAGGGCTTGCTTTCCTTTTCTTTCTTTTTATTTTTAGAGAGATTTTTGCTGTAGAGCACATGCGCTAACCAGAGAGACAGAGAGAAAGGAAGTGAGAAATCACCCCTCAGAGGGGATGAGCATGCCACAATTCCCTCTCCTTCTTCATTCCTCCTCTTGGGATGTTGGGCATGCATGCACACGCGCCCAGTGTGAGTTCCAAGTTGGCAGATCTGGGACTTGAACCACAGTTGGCCATGTGAGAGTCCAGTGCATTAGCCATTACACCACCTGCTGGCCCCAAGGGCTTGCTTTTTAAGCTGATAGGAACTTTAGGCACAGCTGGAAACTTCTAGAAAAGCCTTCGAGTTGCTTTTGGAGTAACTTTATGTAAGTTCTTGATACATCGTCCTCCCTCCTTCTTCCCAAGTGCCTTCTCCTACGAATGAATCTGGTAAATAAACAACGTGCAGACAGCTACCACCAGCTTCAGCTTTAAGCAGATTTGGGGTGGGTCCCTTGGAAAGACTGAAAATCCTCACACAGGACATACAACATACAGAGTGCCTAAGTGGCAGAGCGGGGACTGAAAGCCGGGTCTTCTGCTTCCTGCCATCATGCCTAATACTGTAAGAGGTCCAGAACTACATGTAGGGCTCACCCCTGCCTTCCAGGAATTCCCCACCTGCCAGGAAAGAGACCACAGGCACAGACTTCCACACCAGATGGGGTGTGATAGATGCATATTTGAGGTACAGATATTATCCGCAGGAGTCCAGGGGATGCTGCTTGGACGGTCAGGTGCTTCTGCAACTTTAACATGGAGAGAAATCCTCTGGGACTGTGCCAAAACGCAATTTCGCATTCAGTGGGTCTGCAGTGAAGCCTAGGATTTTTCTTTTTTTCCTTCCCTTTCTTTTCCCTAAAGTTTTTGCCATAGGGTAAGTGCACTCACCAGAGAAAGAGACAGCGAGAAGGAATGTGAGAAATCATCCTCTGAGGGGGATGGCCGCGCCACAATCCCTTCTCCGTTTCCTCCTGGGATTCTGTGTACACGCGCACATGCACCCAGTGTGATTTTCAAGCCACCAGGTCTGGGACACGAATTGTACAATCGGCCACGTGAGAGTCCAGCACCTTTACTACCACCCCCTGCTGGCCCCAGAGTTTTCATTTCTTTTTTTTTTTTCTTTTTTGGGAGAGGTTTTTGCTATAGGGCGCGTGTGCTCGCCAGACAGACAGAGAGAGACAGAGAGACAGAAAGCGAGAAATTATCCCCCCAAGGGGGGATGGCCACGCCACAATCCCTTCTCCTCCATTCTCCTCTCAGGATCTTGGGCCCCCACGCCTGGCGTGAGTTTAAGCCACCGGGTCTGGAACTCGAACCGCACTCGACTACGTGGGAGTCCAGCGACATAGCCATTACGCTAACTGCTGGTCCCAAGTTTTCATTTCTAACATGTTTCTGGGTGATGCCAGTGCTGCTTGTCCAGCCGCAGACCACACTGAGTCATCCAAGCTTAGCTGGCCACGTATCTCTCTGCATTAGCTAACCCTCCATACAAATGTCTAGAAACCAAAAGCAGAAACAAACAGCAATGACTGGCCACTTAATGATGTTGGCAAAGGGGCCAGCCAATGTGGTAGTTAAGGCATTGGATCTGACATACCCAACTGCACAGTCTGAGTCCGGGACCCAGCAGTTTGAAAATCATGCTAAGCACATATGCATGCATGCCCCAAATCCAGGGAGGAACATGGAGAAGAAGGCATTGCAACCTGATCATTCCTCTTGGGGGGCAATTTCTTACTTTCTTTCTCTCTTTCTCTAGCAAGCACATGTGCCTTACAGCAAATTTTTGAAAAACTTAATTGCAGATAAATAGGGAGTGGTAGAAAATACGGGGGGGGGGGGGTGGGGGGTAAACGCTGCAGAGGGGGTGGGGGTGGGTTATGCGGTTAACAATTACTATACATACTGCTGCAAATGCTTGAGAGCTGGGTACACAATTACCCTGATTTAACCATCACCTGTTGCCATCGTGAACTGAAAAATCACCTTGTTGCAATTGATATGTTGGACTGCGGAGTGGCCATGGGGGGGGGTGATTTCTCGCTTTCTGTCTCTGTCTCTCTGATAAGCACACTCACCCTATAGCAAAAACCTCTCCTCCCCCCCAAAAATTGATATGTTAATAAAAAATTAGTAATTAGAAAAAAATTTTAATGTCAGTAAAGATGACTTTAGGGTGAGTTTTCGTTGTTATTGTTTTTTAGGTTCTTTTCATGGGCTTGCTAGAGAGAGTCAGAGAGAGATAGTGAGAGGGAGCGTGGCCACACCACAATCTCTTCTCCATTTTCCTCTCAGGATTTTAGGCACATATGCATATATGCCTGTTGTGATTTTCAAGCCGCCGGATCCAGGATTCAAACTGTGCATTTGGTCATGTTGGAGTCCAGCACCTTAACCACCACACCACCAGCTGGCCCCTGGGGTGAATTTTTCAGAGACACCTAGGGTGATTTTCCACCGCTACATTGTATTCCCAGTGTCATTGGAGTTTAGCACATAGGAAAAGAGGCTGAATCTCCACCCTCAATAACCTTGCTGTTGGGACCAGCAGCTGGCGTAATGGCTATGTCCCATGTAGTCGACTGCAGTTCGCATCCCAGACCTGGTGGCTTAAAACTCACGCTGGGCGCGTGGGCGTGTGCCCAGGATCCCGAGAGGAGACTGGAGGAGAAGGGATTGCGGCGTGGCCATCCCCACTGGGGGGTGATTTCTCGCTTTCTGTCTCTCTGTCTCTCTCTGTCTGGCGAGCGCACGCGCCCTACAGCAAAAACCTCTCAAAAAAAATAAATAAAAATAAAATAAAACCTTACATCTTGAGACCAGCAGATGGCATAATGGCTAGGTCGCTGGACTCCCATGTAGTCGCCCACCATTCGAGTCCCAGACCCGGTGGCTTAAACTCACGCCGGGCACATGCGCGTGCATGCCCAAGCTCCCAAGAGGAGAATGGAGGAGAAGGGATTGTGGTGTGGCCATACCCCCCCCCGGGGAGTAATGTCTCGCTTTGTCTTCTGTCTCTGTCTTTCTGGCAAGTGCACGCACCCTATAACAAAAACCTCTCCAGAAAAAAAACAAAAACAAAAACAAAAAACCTTCCATCTTTCTCCCTGCTCTTGGCAGGGCTGGCCTCTGTCTTGCCCCTGCACTTTATGCCCCAGCCACCCTGGCCCTCTGAGTTCCTCACAGTATGCTGTGGTCCCCCCTGGCCAGCGCACAGACTGCTGACCAGAACAAGGTTAACCCCTCTCCTTCCTCAGGCAGACTAGAGGGTGCAAGCTCCAAGCAGGTGAGCATTAGTTTCTGACACCAGGAAGGCTTCCTGGGGAGGGGAGATGGTTACCTTACAGGAGGAAAAAAGACAAGGTTGGATGGGGCAAAACAAGCTGTGTGCTTGGGATGGAGGAGAAAGGACTCACAGGTA